GGGGGGGGGACAAACCGTGCTGCATGGCGATTCCGCGGCACCCTGAGGACTGGTTGCAACGCAATCCACGACGCACTTCTCTCCAACGACAGTGGGGCCGCCGGCGCGCCACGACGTGAGCACCTGCGGCTCGCCGGGGGTGCGGGGGGCCCTGCCCTGCTTGTTTGCTGGCGTCGCGTCGATTTCTGGATGTCGGTATCTGGAGGCTGCATATGCGGAGGAACGACCTCGAGGTGACCAGGACGTTTACAAAGGCAACATTCCCATGGACCAACAGTTCCTTCGTCAGGAATGCTTGCAGCAGGCCTTAAGAAAATCAAACATTGAGGTTTTGGGGCTTGTTATCCCTTTGTGCCGCCTGTGTCGTGTTCAGACTGTTTGCGGCAAATATGGGATTCATGCTTGAGTTGGTCTGGCTGGGATGCAAAGCATGCGCATTGGGGCCTCTTCAAAGGCACATGCAGACAGGGTGACATGCAGCCGGCGCAGCCCATCAATTTGTAAAAGCAGATTTCTGTAGACGTTCCAAGGGGTGCCAGCGCCGCCCATGACGCCTAATCATGATCTGTGTGCCACAAGGAGCCGTATGCCGCCATTCTCAGTTTCAATTTGCATTGTGATTTTGGTCCCGATTGCCATGTTCTCAGCTCCGTCGATATGTAAGTCTTTGAAAGAATGGCAGGTATATGCGTTGCGACGGGCCGCGGGCGCATGCAGCGGTTCCCTGGAAGACGACGACTCGCCCATAGCCACCACCCGGCGGCAGGCGCATGGCCCTAGCTCCGCGACGAGCACTTGTGCGGTGGTCAGTGGCCACGCCCGATGTTCGTCCACGGGTCTCCCCACTGGCCGGCGGTGAACTGTGGTGGGAGGAGGTTGCGTGTGGGTGGGCGTGTTCAGAAGTGAGGGAACGGTTTGAGAGTGTGCAGCCCAGCGTTTTGGTTGGCCCATGGATCGCCGCCCAGATGCCTTGTTGAGTTGTCAAACACACATTGTCGTGTCCGCTCACGTGCACCGTCAGGCAGAGATTCAGGAAGCGCCGCAATGCAGCCGCTTCCCAGATCAAGATCCTACGCGCCTGGTTTGTCGCCGTTGCGGCGCGCGTGCTGCCGAACCCCGGGTTCCTTGCGGCAAGGCCAATTGACTGCTGGGCCATGCTCATGCCCCACGCGTCCTGCGCGCTGTTGGCCCTGCTTCTGCTCCGCTGCAGCAGGCGCCGGCCGCCAGGCAGCCCGCCAAACGGCACAGGATCAGCAGCTGCTTGTTGTGAGGTGGAGGGTGGGGGCGAGAGGGCGCATGGCCGGCGCCCGCTTAGTACGTCCTGATGGCTCTGCCTAGGGTCGAATCCAAACAGCATCCGGCACTGGGCTGAATACCTCATGCCCCTTCAACAGCTGCAGAGAGCCCTGTGCATGCCCTGCCACTGCTGTTTGGGATGTCAACTTGAGGTTGCACAGTGGGCAGCAGCCGCCCCGCACCTTGTGTTGTGGAAGCGCTCAACAGCAGGCAGGCCAGCAGGGCGGCCACAAAGAACGTGCTGCGGTCCTTGGCCATGTTGCTAGATAGAGCACGCAGCGTTGAAGTGAAAGGCTTATAGCTGCTCGCCACGACAGCTGTGGCCCGAGCGGGCAATCGGGTGATCTCGCAAACGATGCTGTCTGACGGCGGTCTTGCTGAACGAGTGGGGATCACGGAAGGGTGGCCGGCGAAATCATCTGCTTGATATATGCGCCTTGATTGTGCAGAGGCGGCACCCCGTGCCGAGTCGCGTCACCCAGGCGGCAAGCATCATCCAGTTACTTTACGGTACCGCACACACAACGCAAAGGTCATTCAAACAAAGTCGCAGCCGCATGCGCCAGATGCGGAGCTTAGGTAAAGACTGTCATCATGCCGTTGGAGGAGGTGGACTACAGCAGCTCGCCCCTCACGCAGGGAACGTTTCAGCCATGCGCTCACACACGTGGTAAAAAGAGCCTTGTGCGTGTGCACGCCCTGGCTTGATGTGCGTGTGCACGCCCTGGTCAGTGAATAAGCCATTTGCAGCAACAGGAGGCGTTTGAGATGGACACTGATATGTTGATGCGTGCATCCATGTGTGCGTGCATGCGTGCGTGAGTTTGCTTGTGTGTAAAGAGTAACGGTCGCACTAGGCCGGAAAATCATGAAGCCGTCATCTAACGCGTCTTGGGCACAGTCCAGATGCAGGTACGGATGCTGTTTGACACTGATAGACGCTGGCGCATGGGGAGGCTGGTTGCTGGTGCGACAGGGCAGGCTGCACGGTGGGACTGCACTTGTATACGGTATCAAGCCGCTCACGGCCATGGGATTGGGCATAGCGCTGCATGAGACACGCCGGTAATACCAGGCCGAAGCAACGGCAGCCAGCAAGCCGTGCCGGATGCGGCGTGCATGCGGGGTGCCCAAGGGCCTTGATTTCTTATTGCAACGTGCAAATGCATCCACTGTGGTTTTGTGACTCTGCTGCCCTGGATTAGGCCCACAACACCTATGAGCACTGGGAAAAATCCAAGCGGGACGCGTACAGCTTGGCACGACGTGCTCGTCCCTGCGAGCACTTCCGCACCATTCCTTGGGCTGTGCGCCTGTTGACCGCTGAGGATTGCCAGCGCGCAAGCAGCGCAGTGATGCTGCTTTGTCCGAAACATCCCAAGTACGTCCATCTCTACTGCATTGCCAAAATTCTGCTTTGCTGCCATCTCAACCCCCTCCTGGACACGTTGAACAGCTCAGCTGCTGCTTGCGGTGGCTCTCAAGCTGGGCGTCTCAACTTGACGACGTTGAACCTTGTAGAGGCGCTCGTCGTCGGCAGGCTCATGTACGCTCGATATCACATACCATCAGTAGCCGAAGCACTATGCTAAGTTCCGTCTATGGAGTCTTGAGCCAGCCACCCGACGCTGCTGACACTCACACCGTGATCTAGAAGTGATCCATTTGTACAGAGCTCACTGCAACGCCATGGTTCATCTGAATTAGCCCATCAGAATGAGCTTCATCACTCCCGGGACCGTCCAGGCCATTGCTCACAGCCTGGACATCCCCCAGCTTTCAGACGATGCTGCAAAGGCGCTGGCCCCGGATGTAGAGTATCGGTTGAGGGAGGTGATCCAGGTACAGTCGATCGGGGTTGCGCTGGTGGCGGTCGGGCGCCTGCACAGCGCTGCGTGAGGCGGGTGCCGAACGTCGATGCGCCAAACCTCCTGCCTCACCAGGAGGCGCTCAAGTTTGCAAAGCACTCGAAGCGCCTCAAGGTCACCACAGAGGACATCAACAATGCGCTGCGGCTGAGGAACGCCGAGGTGCGGGATGCGGGGCGCCTGCAGGGACAGGCCTGGCTCAAGAGGCACACAAGTGATCAGCAGCACCGCAACGCCCGGAAATGCGTGCTTAGCTTGCCCCTCACCACTGCCGCCTGTTCATGCCGCCCTTGCGCCGCAGCCGCTGTATGGCTTCGGCAGCCGTGACCCTGCGCGCTTCGTGCGGGCGAGCGGCCACCCGGACCTGTTTTTCCTCGCAGACCCAGAGCGACCCTTCAGCCAGGCACGCGCGACAGCCGCATGCCAGCGCAGGACCTGGAATTGCAGCCGCATGGGAGGCTCGTGATGCGCTGTGGTGGTGGGGCGAGGTGCAGCACCGCAGCAGAGTTTATACAGCTAGGTGGCAGCGGCTGTGCCCCTGCCTGTTGCGGATGCCTGGTGTTTAAGAAAACCCCACGCTCACACAAGCACACAGATGCGCGCGCACTCGCTCTCACGCTCGCATGGCCCGCCGCTTGCGTTCTGCAGCTTATCGAGGCGCCGCTGCCGAAGGTGCCGCGCGACGTCGGCGTCAGTGTCCATTGGCTAGCCATAAACGGGCAGCAGCCAGCTGTGCCGGAGAACGCCCCCATCGAGCAGCCGCCCGCCAAGCGGCCGCGCCTCGACCCGGCCGCACTGCACAAAGGCGCGGCTGCCCAGCACGCCGCGCAGCAGCAGCAGCAGGCGGCCGCCGCGGCAACGGCGGCGGCGGTGGCGGCGCACGCCGACGGCAAGGGGACCGCC